ATATTTTTTTTTTGAGACAGAACTGTAATTTGGAACAAATACAGTAATATTATTATTGCCATGGACGAGTGAGAAATAGAGTAAAATATTGTAGTCATCTGACCCAGAAATGTTGTTGCCAAAGACTGTACTTAATTGTTTGAAACTCGGCTATAAATTTGTTTACTAAAAATAAAACTTATAATGTTTCGGCGGTTTTATTTTCCGCCAAATTTTGCTCTGTTATTATCACAATATGTAATGCGAAAAGCCAAAAGTAAAAAGGCCTGTTACTAACACAACTCCGAATGTATTTGTCAAGAGTTTTTTCGTTACAGTATTTTTACAAAGTCCGGTTCTTAGAGGACGCTCGCTGTGTGCATTCCCTTGCATGAAATAGTATGGTGTGAACACACTACAAGCACAGAATAATACCCCATCAAATATTAAACTACAATAAAAAGTCAATATTGTCTCACAGTTCGTTTCGATTTATTGAATTTATCGGACAAAACGGCAAGTTTAATTGATCAGTTAATAAGTTTGTGCATGCATAAACGTAAACATGAGAAAAAAACAACAATCGATGTGCGGTTTCGAAAACAAATGATGTTTCTGTTACAAAACATCCTAACATTTTACTACTTAAACGAGGAAAAACGGATGTCAACAAGTCAGAAACTAGCTGTGACAGTAAAATTATTTACGGTAAAATAGAGCATGCAGGCCACGTAAAATACCGTGCACAAAGCTAAAAAAGTCAGTTTCATTCACTCCTTTGAAGTCTTTGAAGACTTGAAGGACAGCAAAATATTGTCCGCGTCCTTAGTTTGTTCTATGTGTTATTGAAATCAACTTATCTGAGAAAACGGCAATTGCTAAGTTTCCGCATAAACGTACACATGCAAAAAACGACAATCGATGTGTAATTTCGACAAAAAATGAACTTTCTGTTTCAAAACATCCTAACATTTTACTGCTTAAACGACAAGAGAAAAAGGATGTCGACATGACAGAAACTAGTTATGATCTTACAATAACAGTAAAGTTATTAACGGTTAATCGAGCACACAGGCTACGTAAAATACCGTACACAAAGTCAAAGTTTCATTCATTCGTTTGAAGACTTGAAGGACAGCAAAATATTGGCCACTTCCTTAGTTTGTTCAGTGTTATCGCCATTATCAAATGGTATGGAACCAAGAGACAACTGTTTAGCCATGCAAAGCTGTTCTTCCTCTTCCTCTGCTGTACTTGGCGACAAGCAGAAACTGGTTGAGCTAGTAAAGTTTCGCCGATCAGGGAAAGGTACACCCTAGCTTTCGAGCCGGACTCTGGTTTGCGAGCAATCAGCAGTTGAGCTGTTCGCGGCGGCGCCACGTTCTGGAAGACTTTTAAGTCCAAGGCGTTTGTCGTTCTCAGCGGACTTTTTTCTCTCAAGGAGAGATTTCACAATTTCTCGTCGAGGCGGTCCACTGCCCTTTAATGATTTCTTCACAAACGCAATGTCCTGTTGAATTTTCAGCCAATTTCTTGCATTATTTTGGACATATTCTTCAGGGTATTCTTTGAGTAGCATGTCTTCTAGTTGTTTGTTTACAGACCCCTGCACTCTATCAAAAGCTGCTTCCCTAGACCTCAGTTCTTGTTCAAGTTTAGTTGCTGATGTTTCTAATGCTTTTATTTTGTTCTTCTGCTCTTGGAGCTTCATCTTTTCGTCAGGATGTCGCGTTATTTCGCCACAGAAAAATACTGACTCGCACTTTTCCATCTGACAACTGCGAACAGTATGATTTCGGTAATGGCAATTACTGCATCGTTGGCCGGTAAGGTTATTTTCGGAAGCAGCCTCTTTTATTCTTCGGTAACAATCTTCTAGCACTTTTCGTTTTTCAGCTGCTTCGGCAAGTTTTTCCTCCACAGCGCGTCGTTTTTCTTCGATGAATCTTTCTCCAGGAGACAGTAATTTTCGTCTTATCGTTGGGCGCGAGACGCTGGCTTCACGTTGTAACCACTGTGCTTCTTGTCCAACACTTGCCTCGCCAGCACTAAGGACAGTTTTTTTCCTCGCTGGAGATTTAGAAGCTGGACTTTTCTCTGAGAATGAGGGGAACTTAGTCTGCGGTCTTTCACGTACGGGCGTTCTCAGACGGCTAACCATATTTAAGATAAGTCTTTTATGTCCTTCAGGGATTCCCGCTAGATCGTTTTCTGTTAGATACTTTGCGCTCGCTGTTGACGTAAAACCATTGCTTCGTAATTCACCAGCATATATTAATAAATCTTCATCCACTTCTCTGAGAAAGTCCTCGATACTTTTTCGGCTCTCCATATCAGTGAAAAGATTTTCGCTGATTTTTCTCTGATTTCTTGACCGCGCTGACAGTGAACGGTCAAGAGAACAGAGTGAACCACGAGAACACCGACTCTACCGAGGGAACTTCACATTTGGGCGGGAAAACTTCAAAGTTTGACACCTGAAACTCAGACGTTTGACGTCACGTGAAAACATGTTTTGAGCGCGTGCGTTCACGGGTAGGTGCAATCGACGGTATAATCATTTGTAACAAAATCACTGCAGTATACTCCTCAATTTTACTACAACTGTAAGACTGCCCCTTAAGCTTTTTTCATGAACTGGGAGAATTACTTTTTTCCTTTTTTTGCTTTGGGACCCTTACAGGCAGCCATCTGGGTTTTAAAATTTATTTTTATTTTTCATCCCCAGACTAGACTTGGTACATTTAATGTACCAAGTCTAGTCTGGGGATGAGTATCGAATCTCCTAAGGGACAGGGGATGGTTTTCCTCCCTCCCCTCACTGCTATAAACTTTAATCCCCCTTTTTACATTTGAAATCAAGATAGCTAGCTGCCATAACGTTAAGCACTAACTCTTGATGATCTTACAGAAAAGTAGGGGACTGTGAACAGTCTACCACTTCACTTGTATCTGTGGCTGTCATGACTACAAAGCTAATTTTCCTAGCTAAGTTATATAGCTTACCCTTATCTGGTGATCAAATTTCATGATCTATTGTTAGAGAAATGTGTAGAGTCAGTTTGTGTCAGCAGGGGGTATACAGGCACTATTGTACCTTCTCCATGTATTTGTAATCTGTACATAGGTCTACATATACAGTGACAAAGTGAATGAGGTGGTACATGTCTGAAGTGATTATGTGGCAAGGAACATGAATCCATTTTGTTAAATGTAACTTTAAAAAATTAGTTTATATATGTATCACTCTACTTTAGTGACCATGAAAATACAAAGTGAATGTTAAACTGGGGCATGTTCCCATCAGGTTTAATCCTACTCGTAATATCCAGGTTATGTCACCACAATTTGAAAACCAAGAGTCTTTGATAAGTAAAATATAAGGTGACGTGGTGTGAGCAACATTCATCTGGTTCAATCTAACTTATAATCTTTAAGAAGCTCTATTCAATTCAAGTCATTTAGATTTAGTAATTGCTAAAATGTAAGGTGACCCAGTGAAACATGGGCCATACAGCCATCTTTTATCTTAACTTTTACTCTGTCGGTCGTTACACATTTCAGTTCTAGTAAATATTTTAGCTCTTGTGAAAATTTTAAGGTGACTTCATGAACAGGTGCCATATAGCCACCTCCTTTCTACTTACTTCACTCACTCTTCACTTACAGCGTACATTGTAGAATGTTTTGGGAAAAAATAGACCGCTGATCGCCAACTAACACACTCATTTAAAGGCCTCCAGTTCAAAAAGACACCCTGTTCAAAACGCTAAATGGTGAAATTTTACACCCTGTTTAAGATACAAGACCCTGCATCCCTTTTAGTAACACATGCATATTTAGGCAATTAAGGGAGTACCCTTCCCGGAAAATTTCCGGTGACAGTTGTGTCACTTTGGCCTTACAAAGTAGGTGGGATTGCCTTGTCATTTATTCCATGCTTACAGCTGTGGGGCTGTGGCGCATGTGCCTTAACTTTTTCCTGGACTAAAGCTCTTGCATATCTGGGTATTCCCAGCTTCATTTCCTTTAAGGTGGCTGAACGCAGTTTCGCGGGCGGTCAGCGGTAACTCGCGTGACGGCGAGTGTTTTAACTTACACAAACAAACGTGGCGGTGAAAAAGCAATGGTACACAGAAGACGATTTCTCAAAATCTACTCATTAAAATTTTGTGACATTTGGCAGAATTTTTACTTTTATCGTATTTTAAATAATGAGAATTTTAAAATGGATGTTGAACAGACGATTTTTATGACACATTTAATAATTACAGTACAATTATATTATTGATTATCTAAAAACCCCTCTGTTAAAATTTAGTCAAATAAGTTTCAAATGGTAATGATTAATTATAGTAACCTGTGTGCAAGTTTATAGGAAAATGTAATGAGTGATTTTTCTGTAAACTGAGCAAAAGTGAAATTTTAAGCTTGTATTCGATCGTTCATGTTGCCATGGAAACTACGAAAAAGTCACATTTTACCTGTCCGTCAAAATCTTTCATCAGTATATTTTTCACTTGCCAAGTTTCAGCTTGTGGGCTGCAATCCTACTCTTGCCATGATTTGACAAATGACATATACTCACAAACTGCCAAAACTGTTTTCAGCCACCTTAAGTAAATAAACCGCTGCGTTGTACCTGTGGCCTCTTTCATCCTATGTTGTTTCCTAGCAGAGCTTGCTCACGGCCGGGTTGTTATAAAGGCTGGGTTAAGATAACCAAGGGTTAGTGCAAAACTTGAATTCATATATGCAAATTCTTCAGTTTATTTTTTTTGCCGATAATTAAATGAGTGGATGCTCTAAAAAGAATAGAGTCCCGGCTGAAATTTAACTCCAGGATTTCGCTAATCCGCCTTCGAACTACTGGGCCCAGAGCAACACTTCCGCCAAGACTTCATTTGTACAGGAAAGTAAAACATCAAAAGTTGAAATGTAATATACATTAAAATCAATTTTTTACGGGACAGTGTATACACTTGCATTGTTTACTGTTTGTGTCGTTTTTAACTCATAGTGGGTTTATTGCAGAATGTCCTCGTCCAATTCCTTTTATTGTCAGTCAACAAAATCTGAGCGCATCATCCTCGCGTGATCAATTTACAGCGCAAGATGGTTTGATAACCGACGATACGTTAACCGCCTGGTGCGCCTCTGTGAAAAACGACAAACAGTGGTTGCAAGTGGATCTCCAAGAGGAGAAAGATGTTATGGCTCTCGCCCTGCAAGGGTACAACCATTCCTGGGTGACAACATTTTATGTTCAGTATAGCAGCGATGGTGAAACGTGGTACTGTTATGGTTCAGAAACTGGCCCCAAGGTAAAAGTTTTATTCTAGTTCCTCCGTAATATTAAGGTTTTGACAAACGATTAAAGGCAAGAGTCTGACTTTTTGGTCGTTGGGAATTTTTTTCTGACATAGAACAAAAATAGCCTGCGAGCAAGCTCTCCGGGGCGCTCTGGCGGCGGGACGGGAAAAGGAAGGAGAGCTTGCAACTGTGTCTCTGGAATTTGAATTCCACCTTCAATTCCCCTGTGGCTCCCTGTTGACTCGCCAATCAGCGCGAAGCGGAAACGAGCGAGAATGTAAGCAAACATTGAAAAACACGTGCCAAGGGTATTGACGTCATTACTTATGTCATCTGCGCCAATCAGCATTTCGCATCGACTTAGTGGAGACGTAGTTGAAAGCTCTCTTTTCTTTTCTTTTCTTTCCCCGCTGGCCACCAGAGCGCCCCGGAGTCCGGAGAGCCCACTCGCAGGCTCGACAAAATTTGTCGAGTTTTCTTTTATTTTCATTTTGAAGGAGGCGTGGATAGGGGTAATACGAAGAACTTCAACTGAGGAGATATGTGTGGCTCAAAAAAAAAAACATTGGAATCCCATCTTGTCCATTTGGCAAGCAGCTCTCACATTTTTTCGTGCCTGGGCCACTTCTTGCTTGTTTTAGTTAAATATTTAGAAGGTAACCAGCTTGGACCCTTGTCTTGTGGATAAGTGAGCCTCAAAAGCCTTAAAAGCTGGAAAATCTACTTTTCCCGGCGGACTGTACTTTTTTCGAGCCCTGACATTTGGCGTATGTCAGATACTACTCATACTGACCGACAGCTTTTCAAACAAGATGTTTCGTATTATATTGTTGCCGTTGAATTACAGAACATTATGTGGTGTATCAAACTCGAGGTAAACAGTTTTTTTATCATTCACATGTATCAGGCGCCAAGAAGCGAATTAAGAGGAGATGTTAGGATTAAGTTGTGAACCCAACTTCTTCCCAACCCCCCTCCACCCCTAAAGAAAACAAAAAAGAAAGGAGAAAAATACATAAAATAATAATAATAATAATAATAATAATAATAATAATAAATATTAATAATGGTAATAATAATAATAATAATTATATTATCGAATCTAAGACAGTAAGTTACATTTGCTGGTATATCTTGCTGATACACACGCGCTAAAATTGATTGTGACGTTCCTGTTTGCTGTTATAGTTATTTGATGGAAACGAGAACGATGAAACAATAAAAGTGTACGTTCTTCACCTGGACTCAATCTATGCTCGATTTCTGCGTATCAACCCGCAAAGCTGGGAACATGACGTATGTCTACGTACCGAGATATATGGTTGCCCTTATGACGTGAACAAAAGTAAGTTAGTTATTCCTCCTTGTGATTGTAAGGGGCTGTTCACACTTGATACCTGAGGGGGGAACAGAATGTGTGTCCACACAGGGACCTGGTGCCCACTTAAGTGCCCGAGTAAAGCTTCTTGCCCCAATAGGCCTTTTTCATTAGTTGATCACGTGATCAAAAAACTTTGCTAGCACGAGCTGAATAAAAGGCATATTGAAATTAGGTAACCTGTCAATTTTCAGCCGTATATCTCAAAAGTAGCGATTGCAACGGCCGCCGAAAATTAGAAGGATTTGTATGAGAGAAACAACTTTTTACCCCCAGTCATTTGGTTTTCCAAATCCTTGTAAATTTCGAAATTTTCAAACCGTCGTAAAATATTTCCTTAAGCATTAAAGTAAGGGCCTCAAATCTCCTTTTAATTCATAACAGGCAATCTGAGCCTTAAATGCGTAAGAGAAAGATTTAACGACAATTAAAAAAATTCAGAATTTACCAGGACTTGTATGGAAAACCACTCAAGCGTGACTGGGTGGCAAGAGTTGTTTTTCTCATACAAATCCTTCTAATTTTCGGCGGCCGTTGCAATCGCTACTTTTGAGATATACGGCTGAAAAATTGTCAGGTTACCCAATTTTATTATGCTCTGTCAGCTCGTGCTAACAGAAGTTTTCAAAAGCGCACTGTTTTCGTGTTAACCGAAAGTTGATCACGTGATCAACTAATGCAAAAGGCCTCTTCTGGCATGAATAAGGGTGTGTTCACATTAGTGCCCTTTGAGTACCGTACTCTGTTACTGTACCCTGGCACGAAGTGTGAGCGCTACCTATTATGACATAGGAGAATAGTTCCAGTTTGTTGTTTAAATCAATCTTAGCCTGCGTAGCAAGCGTTTCCAATCGAGTTATTGCGCAAAAGTTAGAGCGCAAGCAAAAAAAAGGTTGAAGGGGGAGGGGAAGGGGAGAAGAGGAAACGCTTGCCCGCAAACCCCAAGATTCTGGAAAACGCCCCTTGATATTTCACGGTTCGGTTCAATTGTAAATTGACAGCTCGTCAAAATAGAAGTATTACGAACAGATTACCCCTGGATTACCAGATTTGTAAACTTACTTTGTTCTCTAATAGAACACGTTGCAGGCGATTGCAAGAACTGTAATAAAACTAAGATGTACGATAAAAGAAAGTTAAAACTATGAGCGATTGCTGCGGAATTTCTTGTTTTTTATTGTGTGGCTTTATCTCGTCTGAAACCTTGTCGACACGTCAAAAATGATTTGTCCGGAGCAGTTCACTCCGCCGGGTATACGTTTTGCAGAGCGGCTACACGTTGCAGGTGATTGCAAGAACTGTAATAAAACTAAGATGTACGATAAAAGAAAGTTAAAACTATGAGCGATTGCTGCGGAATTTCTTGTTTTTTATTGTGTGGCTTTATCTCGTCTGAAACCTTGTCGACACGTCAAAAATGATTTGTCCGGAGCAGTTCACTCCGCCGGGTATACGTTTTGCAGAGCGGCTGCTCTTCAGCCTGTGTCGAAACGTTCTCTACCATAGATGCCGCTAAATTTCCGATAAACAAAAAGAATATTTTCATTTCAAAAAGCTGACAAATCGCTTGTCCATGGCGGCTTTAGCTAGTGTCGAGTACTGATGTTCTGATTTATGTTGATGTTATCTCCAACAAACAGTCCATTTTTTCCAGTCATTTTCAATAAATTGACCTTCTCCACTGCTCGATCTCCAATTATACTTTGAAGACTCTGATAAACCTTCGCACAAACACGATTCAAATAAATGTCAGTCCAAAGCATTTGTAATCTGCGACCACAAATCACATGAGACCAGATCTGTGACGCACGAAAACAAAGCATACCTGGTTTGATTGATGTTTCGAATGCTAAGTAATCAACACTACCCGCACCGCGCCAATCAGAAGCTGCGTTCGTGGGCGAACGCAATTTTTCAAAATCGTGGGGTTTGCGGGCAAGCGGTTCCTTCTTTTCCCCCCCCCCCTGTCATTTTTTTTTTGCTCTTGTCCCAGGTTTCTAGACGAACCTCGCGAGGAAACACTTGCTACGCAGGCTAAATCAATCTGTAAGAGAAAATCGGCAGTTTAAAATGCATTTATGGACTGTACCTCCTCTCACTATGGCGGCGTATTCTGTTGCCTACGGTCGAAGGCAAGACTGTTTGTTTGTATAGGCCCGATTACCAAGCGCTATTCGGCAAATGTTTGTACGCCAAGAGTAGTTAAAAATGTAGTGTGCATTGAAACGAAAATTTAAATAGTCTCTATACTAAAGTGTTTTGATCATTTTTTTGTTATCGCTTTAAAATAATAACTTAAGTCCATCCGATGTTCTAATCAACAAGGTGGTAGTAGTACTTGATATTTTCCTGGAACCTGATTATGAAAATAGCTCGTAATGCTTTGGATCTTACAATAGAGAGCTTAGGATTTGAGGACGAGAACAGGTTCCTGTACGAAATTTAACTAAAAGTTTTTGCGCGTGTTCTCAAAAATACGCAGGAAAGGAGGTTGAGTCCTCTCCCGATAGCAAAAGCCTGCAAAAGGTTAAAATTTCTTACATTTCATAACTTGTTCCCTCCACTACGAAATTCTCGCTACAACTCGTAGTGGAATGACGACAGTAGACCTACACCGTTCTAAACCTGTTATTTCAGTGGTCCCCTTTAATCTGCTCTTCCGTTGTTTTCATGTGACAATCCCTATTGTTTTCCCAGCTAATCAAAAAATAGTTGCCCAATGACCTTGGCTATCACGTTTTTCCGCCAAAATGACGCTGGCTCACGCGTGAGCAATACTCAGTATTGAAAAACTCTCGTACTCCTAGCTGTCTTCGTCTCAGAAGTTTCATCCCTCTAACGTATCAATATCTTTCAGCTTACGATCACCGACCACCTCTGTACAACAACACCTGTGGAGTAGAAAGACCCACGGAGCCACCAACGACCGTTCCTATCACCACGATAGAAGATGTTATAGGGGGTAGGTATCATCGACATGTTGAGGCTGAAACGATAACTGTTTATAAAATAACTAAGCCTAGTACGCGCGCTCTGATTGACCGAGAGGCGTGTTTGCATGAGAATATGTAAACATGGTCGTGGCGTCAAAATGTTTTGCTTTTGGCGTGCTAATCAAGCAAGCACAAATTTGAAAAGGTTTTTGAGTCGAAAACTCGACGAATTTACTTTATTTGCCCCCTCCCTCGTCGGCTGAAACGTGGAAAATCTTCGGAAACATGCTGTGCCAATTTCTTTTCGCTTAAGCTGACATTTTAAGCGAGGAAAACCCGTATTTTTGGAAAGCATCTTTATTTCAAAACAAGAACTGATTACGTGTACAAGCTTTGT